TATATACACATATATGTGTATGTATATATATACATATATACATATATTATATATTTATGTGTATATACATGTATATATGTACATTATAGTATATGTGTAAGTAAGTTTAATAATAATAATATATGTTATTAATTTTACAATATAATATATGCATTTTATACATTGGTGAGCATTGAGACTAACTAATCCTCCCTTTCCACATGGGATTAGTAGTCCCCTCCTAAGGAGGTGTTTTTGGTGGGCCCGGTATTAGCAATCCCATCTAAGACTAGGATTAGATAAAACAAACATGGTACTAAATTTAGTCCAAGCCAGTCCAAACCAATCCTATGTACCAAACGAGCCCTTAGGGTTTCAGTAAAAGTGAAAAAAAAAAAAAGCAAGAAATTTTTTGACAATTCAAAAAGAGAAGATACATGTCATTTTGTGATTGAACCACAAATAGAAAGTAAGGAAGAGTTCTTTCCATAAGGAGGGAAGTATTTGTCATTAATATACTTGTCATATGCTTGTATTCGATAAGGTTCACATCGGAAGGTGTCGCGAAGGGTTATGAACCAAATCAATCCTTGGTTATGGCAGTGGTCAATGCATTTTGTTTACCATACAAAGATAAAACACGTAAATTTGGTTCCACACTTCAACCAAATGAGAAGTAAAAGTAATACGAACAAGTTCGATTTTCTAAAGTGATGTGAAGGCTCTATTGACCTTAATTCTTTTGGTGGATTCCATTCAATTTCTCTTCTTTGTTTCTTCAATTTTTTTTGTCCGACCTACTTTTTTTTGTTTTAATTTTGAGGGCATTTAAGTCTATAGAAGTGAGTTTTGGCCTTTTTTGAATTTTTTATATTAATAAAATTGACATTTTTAAAAATATAGGGTAAATTTGGGTTTTTTATTATATAAAAAATAATAATAATAATAACTCATGACAATACTACTCCAATACTAAAATAGACAATTCTTTTAAAATTGATGTTGTGTAGATACAGCTGCACCAAAATGGGTTCAACTGCATCCTCAACTTGTGATACTCGCAAGTGCACGAGCCGTTCGGTAGTATAGCGTATGTAAGTGCAAGGTCGATCCCACGAGGATTGGTGATTGAATGATCCCATTCATTTCTCCTACACAAAATAGAAACAAAAACAAAGAACATAAATAAAACAAAGAAGAAAGAAATAACTAACTCAAGCAGATAAGTTCCCAAGTTCAATTAGATTAACGGATTGATTCTAGCTAATGTATGATTAAGCCATGGTGTGTGGTCATAACCTTGTGTTCCTAATTCCCTAATTTGATCATTTGTTGTCTAACCTAAAATTAAGCATTAGGAACCCATTAAGCATAGAAGAACATTTTAAACAACCAAGTATGTATCTAATCCCTGTTGTCGAATGTCCATACATACTCTTCCTATTCATAGTTCAATTCGAATTAAAGCATGGTGTATACTCTTAATTCAAACCAAGATAG